GCACACACGCACACACATACAACAATACATAGCTTTTGTTTTGTTTCTTTCTCTCTCTCTCTCTCTCTCTCTTTCTCTCTTTATATATATATGTGTATACATATAGGTATGGAATAACTAATGGCCTTCAGCCCATCCCGCCACCTTGAATGGGTGGTGGTGCCTCTTGGGAGCCTCTTGGGGCCTCTTGGGGGCCTCTTGGGGCCTCTTGGGAGCCGCTGGAGGCCTCTTTGGGGCCTCCTCGGGGCCTCCTCCTGGGGGCCCGTCGGGGCCGAGGGCTCGAAATGTCCAGTCGGGGCCCTCATTTGGCATCCAAAACATGGCTGTACAAAGTCCGGCTAATCCCTGGGTTCCAATTTGCGTAGCGTTTCCACGGTGCCGGGTGCATCGTAGCGTTAAGGCTCAGACAATGTTCAACAGGTCTTTGATCCGAACCGGTATCCAACCAATGACATACCCGGCAGTATTTCATGTTGGATCGAGCTTTTACGTCTTCCAACAGAAGACCCACAGGCAAAAATGCAATAGACGCTCTTCTCTTGACTTCCGCTTTCGAATCAGATTTGGGCCCAGTACTTCATTGTGATCCTCTCCCTTGCTCGGGCCCACTTCCGTTTTGAAGTCTCAGGCAATCAAGAAGTGCATACCTCCAGAGTCCCTTCGGTACATAAGCGTATCCAAGTTTGCATAAACAGTTCCAACACAACAAATCATTGTATTTTGAATGAGGCATATAGACGCCCAGGATTTGAAGTACGGATCCGAGCGCAGGCTCACCCTGGCTGAAGTTCCCGACCCGCCCGCCCTAAACTACGACAGTCTGGTTTGGTGGGTTTGAGTGTGCTCGAGCGGGCAGTCGTCCTCATTGTTCTGCTCAGTGTATGCGTCAGACGCCTGCAGAGATCCATGTTGGCTTCACTGGTCGTCGCCAATGCGTTCATTCCAGCATGCTCGGGCTGGATCGTTCGAGTCCTGAGGGTGACGCAAAGGAGTTTCGAGTTCATTGGGTTTGACGTTGTTATCCCTCTGCGAGGCTCACGCCATGATTCCCGCCCTGCCAGTGCTGGTTGGGTCTCTTGGCGCCACAATGGGCCCGCTTGCGTTTGGTATATATGTATATCTATATATGTGTTTATATTTATACTTATATTTATTTACATTTGTAAAACATGTGGATTTATATTTATACTTATATATATATACATAGATATAAATATGTGTATATATACATATGCATATACATACACATAAATGCGCATGGAAAGACGAATGGCCTTCGGTCCATCCCGCCACCTGGCTTGGGTTGCGAGTCAGACTTCTCAGAGATGCATGCGTCTGGGGGCTTCTTCGGAGCTCGGGGGCCTCTCGGGTGCAGTTTTGGTACCTCCTGGGAGCTTCTTGGTGCCTCCTGGGGGCCTCTTGTGGCATCCTGGAGGCCGCTTGATGCTTCGCTGGGGCCTGGGGGCCTCCTCCTTCGAGGGCTTGACACGTCCGGTCGGGTCCCCCGTCTTGGCCCTCTCTTGGAGCCGTCCCCGAGGCTTTTTGGGCCGTCTTGGGGCCCTCTTGGGGTGTTTGGGGGCCCGATTTGAAGCCTCTTGGGGCAATCCTGGGGATTTCCTGGGCAGTCTTGGAGCGTAGGGGAGCCGAAAAGGCTAGAGTGCCGGAAACCTCGCAAACATAATCCTGGCGAAGGTCCCGACCATATGCAGTTGTGAGTGTCTTTCTAGGGTAATTTTGAACACTTTGTAAAACATGTTGATCCCCCCCTCCCCCCACCTCCCTGGATCCTGACTGCCAAGAACTCGACGCCGATGTTTTTGTTCGATTGTCCCCCTGTCAAAAAAAACACTGTATATACACATGCGTGTTCGTATATATGTTTACACATTACGAATATATTCGTTTGTGTGTATATATACACACCAGGGGACAGGGCTGGTGGCTCCCAGGGCGGTCCTCTGACGCGCCATGAGGGTCCCAGGGCCCCGGCAGCGCGCTGGGATCGCGCCAGTTGTGCCCGCGCGTCAGCGCGCCATCGAGACGCGTTGGGAAGTTCCCAGCGATCATTGCCACCACGGCCGCGCTGGTCGCGCCAGATTTGCGGGCCGCTCTGCGCGCGAGCCTGCGCGCTACAGCGCGGCCGCAGCGATGCACCAGCCAACGCCAAACAGCCATCGCAATCGCCGCCGCATGGGTTCGGCAACCAGGTTGCATGTGGGTGGTTGCTTTTCCCTGGCCGTCTGTGCTGGCTGGTCGCGGGGCTTCAGGGCCTATGGCGCGCCGGTGCTGGACCGGTGTTGCGCGCGGAACGAGAGGAACGGAAAGCAGGTGGAGCAGGAGAGCGGGAACGAATGCGACAGGGAGATCCATGAACCTCTTTTCGACAAGGAGTAGCATAAACCAAACACATGTCCATGCACAGCGACGGGTCTAACCTCGCTAAAACAACTGCACTGAGCACCCAGCTTACATCAACACGCCATTCCTAAAATGCAAGCCAGTATCACAAACGAACAATGAACGCCCAGTGCGCTTTCAAGTGGAAACACGTATATAGAGCCCCGTGTCACCTTCTTCACCAGGAGTGTACGGCAGCGTGCGCATATTGATGAACAAGTTGACAAGCGCCCGGGTGATCCATGGTTGGAACAAAGTGCGCCCCAAACAATTAGCGGTTGAGCGCAGTTTGGCACGACGGTTCAAGTTGGGCCCGAGGCGCCCACCCCTTGCACAGCGTCCCTCGCGCAGCGCACAATGCAGATTGCTTCAGCCTCCGACGGTGTAAGCTCCGTGGGCGCCGCACCATCAGGTCGGACGGGAATTGCGAAGTCGTCAGAAAGGCCTTTGATAGAGAATTCGAACTCTATACTAAGTGTGGTGTGTGGGTGCTCGGCTTGTTCAGAAAACAAACCTGGCAAAGGATCCAGCCACAAAGCAACTGCGAGTAACGCGGAACAGTGCTGGCTGGCTGTTCATTGGCAATCACAGCAAGAAAAGGGATCGAGTCCGTGCGGGGCTGCGAATCGCCTGAGGAGTGCACCGAAATTTGCGGGTGGGCCGCGTGCGATACCTTGCCGTTGATGCCTGCGGTGGTGTGCCTCTTGCGTGGCCACGACACATGTGGTTTGTGTGTGTGTGTGCCGAAATGGGCGGGAGGGGAAAACGTTTTGTGGCATTTTGCTGGTGACGCCTCGGGTAGAACACATCGTGGGGCCACAAGGAGTTTGAGGGTTGCGCCGACATGGACGGAGGGACGGTTCGTGGCACTTTGCAATTCTCGTATTTTTGTTGTGGGGTTCCTGGTTGGACCGCGAAACGTGTTCGGGGTGTGCTGGAATGTTCGTGGGAGCGCTATGCGTTGACTCCCCTTGGAGACCTCAGGGCCTGTGGGGCTACAAAGTGTGAGGTGTGTGCCGAATTGGGCAGTGGGCCCGTTTGCGGCCACAGCCCGTGGGCGCTTCGGCGGAGCTCCCTATCGGGCCACGAATCGTGCGATGGGGCGTGCGGGACTTCGGCGGAATTCGCTGTCGGGCCACGGAATGTGTGAGGGGTGTGCCGACAGGGAAGGCATGGTCATTCGCAGGGCCCGAGCAACCGACAAGCTTGCTTCGGGCGGGGGTCGGACGAGGATGAATGGTTCGGGAGCGTTCTGGAACTCTCTCAGAGCGTTCCGGACTGCTCTGAGAAGGCCGCGGCGCCCGGGTCGCCGGATGTCAGAGGAACTGGATTTATCCTCACCCCATGTTCGCTTCGTCTGGGCTTCGTTTTAGGCCGGGCTCAGGTCGGGCATGTCCTCCTACAGGCTGGTTTTTGGAGGGAGAAGGAAGTAGAGCCCGCCAAGACTCAAGACCAGTCCGAGAACAACAGGACCATCGCCCTCTCCCTATTTTTTCGCAATTCTTAGGGACCTTCCTCCTGCTCAGGGACCTGCCCGACCTGGGACCGGCCTGCTGGCGCGGCCGGCTCGCCCCTGCCCCCCTGGGGGGAGAGGGCGGCCGCCGCCCCCCTTCCCAGCTTCCCCCTCCCCCTCCCCCTCCCCATCCTTCTCCCCCTCCCCCTCCTCCTCCTCCTCCTCCTCCTCCCCCTCCCCATCCTCCTCCTCCTCCTCCTCCTCCTCCTCCTCCTCCTCCTCCTCCTCCTCCTCCTCCTCCTCCGCCTCCTCCTCCCCCTCCTCCCCCGCCTCCTCCTCCTCCTCCTCCTCCTCCTCCTCCTCCTCCTCCTCCTCCTCCTCCTCCTCCTCCTCCCAGGATGCCGCGCAGGAGGCGGAGCGTCGCCTGGAGCAGCTGCGCGCGGACCTCGAGGCGCGGCTGCGGCGGCGGAGGAGGCCTCGAAGCGCCGGGGCGCGCAGGCGCGCCGCCGCGGGGCGGGGGCGGGAGGGGAGGGGGGGGCGAGGAGGGCAGGGGTGGGGGGGGGAGCGAGGGGGCAGAGCATGTGGGGAGGAGGGGGGGGGGGGCGAGGGGTAGGAGCACGGGGGGGGCATGGGGGAAGAGAAGGGGCCGGGGGGCGAGGAGGGCGAGGGGGAGCGAGGGGGCGAGGGGGGGGGGTCTGAGGGGGAGGGGGGGGGGACAAGCTAGGTGCGCTCGCGTCATATCTGACGTCCTACCCCTCCCTCCCATCCCTTACCATGGCGCTGATTTTCTCTATCCGCGGACGCGTGTCGTAGCGGACCTGTGGCTCCGCGCGCGCGTGCGTAGTGGGTGGTGGTGCACGTGCGTGCGTGCGTGCGTGTGTGCGTGGTTGTCGTGGTGGTGGTGGTGGTGGTGGTGGTGGTGGTAGTGGTGGTGGTGGTGGTGGTGGTGGGTGCTGTGGGCTGCTGCTGGGTGGTGCTGGTGGTGGTGGTTGGTACTGGTGCTGCTGTGCTGGTGTGGTGGTGGTGGTGGTGGTGGTGGTGGTGGTGGTGGTGGTGGTGGCGGTGCGGCGCGGTGGTGGCGGGCGGATGGGCGCGCGAGAAAAAGGCCCGCGCTGGGGCGAGAACGCCATCCTGAACGACGGGGGCCAAA